TCTTTGAGCTATTAAATGAGTCCTGCATGGGTGCGCAAGCATTAAATCAAAAAGTTGTTTTCCATTTTAAAAATTTCACTGGAGTTCGGCAAATGTTCCTTTTTTCACATTCAATTGAACCGACTCATAGATTTTTGCAAGTTTTAGTAACGGATTCAACGCAACAAACGGTAAGCAAATTGGTGATCAAATTTCGTTTCTCCACAACCATAGGCAGTGTAAATTCAGTAGCATTATTTGTCGATGCGTAAACAACGCGTAGCTGGTAGCCGCCATCGCTGAGCAAGTGATTGACACAGAATACCGTTTCCGGAAGCATGCAGATAAATTCGAGTGAATTATTCATCATATCCTGTGCCGTTACTGATAAAATCTCACTCCCTACAGAAGAATGCGCTGTGACAGATACTTTCTTCCCAGAATTCTGCATAGAAATGCTTCACAACTGATCTTTGCACAGATCTGCATTTCTTACGTCACTTTTTCCGGATAAATAAAATAAACTGCACGGTTTTTAAAAGCGTTAACAATACTAAAGCATTCCTACTTATCAGCCAAAATTACGAAGATACTCTTGCAGTCAGTATGAGTTTTCGTTGCAGTCAAAATCACTCTACAGTTCAGCCAGAATGAGGGGCGAACGCATTAGTAAACAGCTCCTCTCAACAGCAACCACACTCTGGCAAGTCCATCAATGGTTCTCTCTCACGAGCAGAGTAAGGGTGGTTTTCTGGCATACGGTTTTTCCACGAGCAAGCTGATGATGATTTCTGACATGTTCCAAAGATTTCACAGTTCTACCTCAAAATGAGTGAACAAATCTTTAAAGGGACTGGTAGTCTCACAGGCTGAATCGAATTCTGGGCTTTTAGCATGAGAGTAGCACTACTCGTCACTACAGCAAGCTGGTTAGCTGAAATCATTCTTCCAGCTCCTCCCACTAGGATAGGCCCATATGCCAGACGCAGCTGTGCTTCGTTATTTCGTCGTAAGTTGCGTGTCTTTATCAAAAACTCCTAGCTTGCAATATAAGGAAACGCTACTTGCGGACTACCTACAGTGGTAAGCGAGCTTCACTCACTATAAGCCTATTACGCCGAGCGGATTTTACTTTCTGTCGCACTACTATCCAGTATTTTGCATGCCGTTTACGCATTGGTGAGGCCCGCTCATGGAAACCCACGCTGAAACGCACCGGGCCTGCCGGTGCGATCATGCGTTTTTGCACCAAACTTGAAATAATTAGGTTAACTGCACGAATGGTTGTTGCTTCATACCTGCATTGTGCGCTAAATACCGTAAATCACCGTAAATTTTCATAAACGAAACAAACAATTTCCGTTTAGCGATCGTTTTTTGAAAATGACCCAGGTGTTCAACGAGCAATTTCTCCTCCAAAAAATTTAGGCGCCCGCATGTAAGAACTACGCCTACATGAAGGTTGGTTTCGAAACCTTTAAGCTGTGTTTGGGCGGGGAATATTCTTCTAAAATTTCAGCTTTCCAGCTTTTCTGGTTCCCAAATTAGCAATTTTCCCGCAAAAACTTTCACGGGCCGTGCACGACCTGGGAGCATACCTGGGGGCTAAGTTTGAAATCTTTAAGTTGCATGTGAGCTGGAGTATCCCCGTAAAATTT